TTTGTAGAACTTCTTTCATTACATTTTGCAATGAGGTAAATATGCAGAATTATTCATCATTGTAGACTGCAGGTTATTGCCTTTCCTCACTTTTATTTCCAGATTTTTTGTTTTGTTTCGTTTTCATGAATTTAGCCAAGTGTGAACCTGATGAGAATGGCTGAAGCATCTATCATTGAATGCACTTTCTTCAGCCATTTATTATATTGTTCTGCTCTTATCAAAATTACCACAAAACTGCTGGTGCATCCCTCAGACTAAAGCTCCCAGTCTGCAGGAGATCACTGCACTGCTTCTGCTGTTGTTTGCCCTGAATTTCAGATATATTTAACTACAGTCTGTTGTGGGTTGGGTTTTTTTTTGTTTGTCTGTTTGCCTTTTTCCCCTTGGCTTTCTTGGCTGTCCTTGCATCATAGCAACTCCGACCAGTCCTGTATTTGTCCCTCTGCAAGATCCCTGCTGCAGAATGGCTGCATCACTAAGAGTGAAAGCCAAGGCTGTGCAAAGCAAGCAGTGTAATAACACCAGGGGAAGTGCAGGTGAAAAACATTAGTTAAAAGATTAAGAATTGAAATGAAAAAGGAGAAAAAAATGAAAAAAACACAAAAGAGTAAAAAAACCAAAAAAACAAAAAAAACAAGAAGAAATTTGTGAGCATATAAGCACTGGAAAAACAAAAGAAAGGAACAATGTCTTCATGTTCTATGTTGTTATGTCAGATTAAACACAATCAAGCCTAGCGAAATCAAGGCCCAAACAACCTCATTATTTTTCAATCAGCTAGTCTTCAAGTTTAGCAAATTTTCGAGCCGAGGATTAGCTTATGTGATTAATCGATTTTTAGTGTTATATGATGTAAAAGCTATTCTGTTCTGCTAACTACCTGAAACACTGAGATCAATTTTGAGAGTAAAACATCAATTACCTCACTTACTGAGAGAGGATAAGCAGCAATTAAAAGGGTAGCTAATGCTTCTCTGCAATAGGTTACTTGTCTCATTTGTCAGTATATCATATCAACTGCTTGATTTCTAATTTTGTACAGAGACTTGAATTCAGGCCTTTCGCATCCCTGTTACATACATTCTGAGACAAGGTTGTCTCTTATTACTTACACAAAAATTCTTAATGTGTCTCAAACAGCAGATGTCATTACAAGCATTAATTATTTTCCTTTGGGTTAACATACTTAAAATTTTTCTTTCAACCTGGGCTTAGATATACTGTAATTTCAGTCACGGAGACATAAATACTTCTACTATCTAATGTCCATCACGACACAAAGTGAGTCTTGCAGGAACTAAACACCTCTAGTTAAAATACAGCCTTTGATTTGCTTCTGCAGCAGAGTAAAAGCCTAAATACAATCACAAAGAGGGGAAAGTGCACAGAAGGGAAACACTGTTTCTAAAAATCAAGCTGTGCAGCCAAAGTTGACAGTGAGGACTTTGGTCAAAATCAACAAAGGTACAGAGACAGCAAAGCTGTTAAGCCACCAAATAAGCAACTAAACAGGCACTGCTACATACCTTGAGCTGTCTATGAGTGAGCTGAAAAAGATGTTTGGCCATTAGAATTGCAACATCAATAGCAATGGAAAATTCTGCACAGAGAGCTCAACTTAGTAAACCCAACAGATCCCACGAGCTTTTTGTTATCTCATTCTCCTCTCCTTCAGTTACTGAGACATTCCCACACTGCTTTTCAAGGAGTTAAGCCTTCTGTGCCTGCAATGCAGGCCCCTGGCTAAAGCTCCCAGGACCTGAAGCTGCCAGGCAGCAATCCCAACAGGCTGCGTTAGAGCAACCTCAAGTCAGGGAAATCCTGCGGCATTAGAGCAGGCATATGGTAAAGTTGTGCCCATTTTTAGAGTGTTGAAAAACATTGCTTTTGTTCTGAATAAAGACAAAATCTATACCAGAATCTTCCATGAAACGTGCCTGCCCTTTTCTTTATTCCCTCAGTCTCTGCGCTCACCGTGTCTGTCTGGTTCTTGACACGTGAAGATTTCTGCTCTATTAAGAAAGGGGAAACTTAGAATCTCAGTTTCCCAACTGCACATAAAAAGGGCATGTTATGGATGCAGACTGACAAATCACACATACATTCTGCTCTGCATTCCAGTAAGCTGTAATAATTTGTTGAAATTAATATGCAGTATTCTTAGTAAATAAAACCAGACTAAAAATACATTATGGACAAGTATTTTTTTTCCAAAGCCTTTCACTTGATTCCCAAAACACTGTAATTCAAAATGCTTGCATCCAGCAGGCAGGAAACTTGGGGCTCAGAACTCTGGAAAGAGGAAATAATAACACCTTCCATCTGCCCACATTGGGCATCCAGTAGTAGTGAGACTGCCTTCTACCTGAAGGGAAAAAAATGCCTTGATTTTAGGAAAACAACAATACATAGGCATCCATTAAACTGCTTTGCTTTTTCTTCCACTCATTGTCAGTTATTTGACTCCTCCAGCTGAATCTTCTGAGTAAACAACATTCTATAACATTTAATAGTGTGTGCACACGTGCTTGTCTGTATGTTTTGCATTCTAAGAGGTGGGCCAACATTGATTTTATTTCCTCTTAGTATTTTATAGTTCTTAGACTGCAGTAATTTTTTTTTTCTTAAGCCATATCTGGATTTAAGTATGCAAGCCGGGACAGAAAGGTACTGAATCTACAGTGTGCCATAAATCTGAATTATTTGCTATTTATTTATTTATTTTACTGTTACAGTTTGTGGGTAAAGAACTGCATGTTTGGTTTATGTGCCAGCTCCTCCTAAAAAACAAGAGAGATTGTGCAACACTGCAGACAGGCATGTACTGCTGGTCTGGTCCCTCCTTGCACCTTACCAGCTGTTTTTTTTTTTTGGGGGGGGGGGGTTGTTTCAATTTACAGTGTCCTTGAGACACCATCTGTCCTAAGGAAAACTAAAACACCAAAAAAACCCCACAAAACCAACACAACAATAAAAGAACACAAAACACACACAACACAAAAATCCCGTTTTGCTCAAAGCCCTTCAAAAGCATAAACAAAATCTGGGAGAAATCTAAACTCATCACCAATATAGCGGAAAAGGGATTGAGTGGAACTTGAAATAAAGCAAGGATTGAGTTCAGTATTTTTCAATAGCTTTGCTATCATGTTCTAAATATCCATTCCCATGAGAAAAAAATGACATCTCTGCAGAGACTGTGGAGGACAGTGGGTCTCTTTTCTTTTTATTTGGTAGTTTGGATTATTTAACGTGTTTGCTGTACATGTTATATTCCAACTCTGGAAGTACGGAAAGCCCAAGGCCCACACAGCAGAAAAGATGCTCTTCTTATCTAGCTTACATACAGGTCTAGGTCTCTCTCTGATGTCTGGATGCATTTTCACTGCATCTTACACCCCACAGTGCCTAATAAGCAGGTTGTAAAAGTTACTTGTTGCCTATTGCTTGTGGGAGCAGAGGAACACATGAATAGTGCCTTCCAAACATGTGAGAAATTCCCATTCTTACTTCAACTTGGTAGTTAGCTGTAATAAAGCTAGGAATCCTCAGCTTTGATCAGGATGAAATTGTTGAAACCTTCCTAAAACTGGTGCGTGGATTCCTGAAAGAACTGCTGGCATCCTGCCTCTTCTTGCAGAAACTAAACTGATCTGATGTAGAATATAAAATAATGCATGCTAATGGAGCTGGAAAGATTTTAAGCCTAGCACTAGCTTGAAGTTTCCTCTTTTCTCCCTTAATGAGCACTCTCAACTTGCACATTAAAAGCAGCCTAGTCCATTCTCTGTGCATTTAGAATACTCATCACTGCTGACGTGTGCTGGTAAACTGAACTTACGGGCTGGCTCATTTACGTGCTTCACAAGCCCACATCTGGGTCACTTGAGCAATGCCACCTGCGTGACTTCCATTAAAAACAAATTTTAAAAATATGGGAAGTTCTAAGTCTTTGTGTACTATCGTTGATGATCTTGAGATGAATTTCTGGTTTTCACTGCACAAATTTCACAAAGCCCTAAGTTTATCCACTGTGATCACCAGCAAAATGCTGAATGTAATTTTATATTGAGATATAAGATACCAGTGAATAAAGTTACACAAAGCACCTATACTGAATTTTAAAGACAACTCATAATAGAAATAAGTAGTACAGAAAAGCCGTAAACATGGAAGATAATACAACAAGATTAAGAAACAAAGCCTAAAATTCAAATGCAGAGCGATTCTGCTGTTAAACAACAAAACTGCTGAATGATCACTCAACAACCATTTATAATGTCAGCAAAATATACTACTTTGCCTAGATCATAAAAGAAACATCGCATTCTGATGAGTTTTATTGCTCTCAAAATGTTAAGAACACTTTATCTTCTTGTTTTCAGGACTCTGAATTTAAGATAAATCAAAGGAGGGGGAGAAGATTTCCCTTTAATAATCTAGATCATATTAATCGATCTCAGTCACTGTGAGACTATTTCCATTAGCTCAATGATTTCTGTATTTGGATGATCTTGCCTCTGCTAATCATAGATGAACCAATACCCCTCTCTATCCCTAGGGGAAAACATTAGCACCTTCTTTTTTCAAATACTTAGAATTCTTCAATTACTTCCAACTCTGCAAGATCTTTTAGAGTCACCTCCTGCATTCTAACTTTTACTTCAAGAGCATTCAGTAGAAATAACAAAGTTTATGATACCGACACTGAAAGCTGAAACAGTATTTTCTATATAGAGCAGGCAAATGGAACGGCCATGATCTCATGGAAGAAGCAGCTTCTGAGCGTGCTTCTTCACATCCCCAGTCCCATCAGCTGGACTTTAGCTATACTTTAAAGTACAAATAAGACAAACGTTATGGAATGATCTACAAAGGTACATACAGCCATTTAATTACTTTAAGCTAGTAAGAGCAAAGTATTTGCATAAGTTCTTTCATTATGAATATACTTGGATAATAACATCACAAATGATTGGTGGCATCTAGCTACTTACTTCTTTGAGTGAAGAAATACATACAAAAGTATTGCTGCAGTCAGCTTATTGGTCGATGTCTTCAGGCTATCAGTTACTACTTCAATCCTAACTAAGTGTCTTCATTTGCCTTAATGTTGACATTTTGCCTCAAATAACAGCTCTAATCTGTAAGAGAGGGGGAAAAACACCTCAACTCTTCTACTTAAACATTACAGAATTATTCATAGCAGCTTGCACGTCTACTGGGATTACTCAAAACTTGAAAAGAAATCCAATATTTCTATTCTAATTTTGCCTGTAAAGATTTCCAGCAATTATAAAACACACTGCTCAGTACTTTCTTTAAAATAGGCTGTCTTGAAATTAATTGTTCCAGAAAGAAAAAAGGTTCCGTTGATCTCATTTACTGCTGTAACATGAGCACAATTTCCCTCTATGGAAGAAATTCCTTAGTGGTAAAAATTTAAAAAACAAAGACTCAAGGAAGGTGAGAGTGTTGCAAAGCAATTACGTATCACCACAGAGTTTGGACTGCTTTGGTTATTATTTTTATGATGGGGAGGTGTAAAGCTAAGTGTTATGAGTTTATGCAATCAGAAATACATTCAAAATTATACATCACACCATTAACTTCTCACAGAAACAGCTGCTATTAAGATCTAGTTATGGTAGTATTACCTTTACAACTTTTTCTTGTTGTTAATGTTACACTGCAGTACTTTTAAGTAAAAAAATTCAAGAACATTGATTCTATTTTCTCCCTAAAGAGAAACAAAAACATACAAAAGTACAATACAGTACTGTGGGATTGTGGGTTTTTTTTTTGTGGTATTTAGTCTTCTCAACAACAGGTTTTAACAAAAACATTCTTAAACGTTGCCATTTTCCAGTGCAGGGAAGGAAATCAAGAGAAAATGATTAGAAAATGATTCATTGGAGTACAATCTGTGTTAGGTTGGCTTCAATCATTCAGAAAGAAGTTTAACAGGAAATAGAAAGTCAAGAAAATTAAATTCAGACTAAACTAAAACTTGATCAGTTCAACATAATGCAACTTCTATGAATGCACTTTTCAAATCATTTATCTTACAACATTTGCATTTTATATTTGATAAACGCTTCCTGTTTACTTCCTGTAGTTTCATGTGTCCTTCTCCAGGTGGTTGAGCTTATGCAACAGAATGCTGTATATTAACCAACAAAATTATCAGCCTATTATTAATCGATTCATTATATAACTCTTGATATACTAGAGTCCCGGCTCTTTCAGGTAATTCAATTTTTTTGAAGCCAAACTGGAATGAAACAAAGGCCCTTTTCTACTGAGACTTCTCTTTTTTCACAAGGAGATAGAGCCTGAAATTTCTGCAGATGATATCCAGATTACTCCATTCAAAATCTAAAATACTCCCTGGAACTCCTTTACAAAAATACAGAACTGACAAGGTCTTCCAGGTCAGTTTATGGCTAAATTTCCTGCTATCACAGGCCAGATGCAGCTTGGCTGATCACAGACTAACAGCTTTTCCTTTCAGCTCACTTAAGCGTGCTGAAAACTCTTGTAATTGTTCTTGTTATTTACTTTTTAATATCATTCTTACACACATTATATAGAAAAATCTTGAAATATTTAGAAGTTTTACAAGAAACCATCTCCTCAATTTTCTCTCTACTTTCCCACTGTAATCATGGGAGTGGTCTGGTTTCTTTTGCCACTTAATTCCCTGAGGTGTAAATTTTAGAGAGGAAAAATAAAAGCCGTGCTGTCTGAAATAGATGATTCAAGCTGAAGGCTTAGAGTGCTGGATTTTCTGCACTAGGACATAAAAGTACTGATCACTGATTCTTCTTCTGGAGCTGACTGCTCTAGAATCAAGGAAGGTAAAGCAAGATGCGTAGGGCTCCTAATCTTTAACATAACATATATGAATGCAAATCCTTTTGTCTATTTGTTATTTGCTTATACAATGCTTCCCAAGCTTCTTTCTATCAGCAATTCCTTTCAAGTAAAAACAAAAACAAAAACAAAGCAAGCATAGGAAAGTTATTATGTTTTTGAAAAAGCATTTCCACATTTCTACTTTTCCATTTAGAAACGGTGAATATTGAAGAGCCCTAAGAACTAAGTAATATCAAAACTTCAATTCACAGATGGATTTTCACATCTGAAAAGTGGCAATTTATATACTTAAACAAACGATCATTAAAAAAAAACACAACTATCCAGTACCGGAATTAGAGCCATCAGTGATTTCCAGAAGGTCAAACGGAATGATCTATAGATACATTCAGGTGAATCCACAGTGGTTAGGAAGTCATCCATTTTTCTTTCCGTAATCACTCAAAACTACACATAAGCAATGCATTGCACTCTAATGTTGAGCTGCTCTGAGAGCTGTTATTTTCTTTTAAAAAGAAATAAAAGAGTCAAGAAGGGATGAGTGAAAGAAAAGAAACAACACCACAATCCTGTCTCCACTTTTCCCCTTTATGTATAGGAGAAAGCAACCCCATGTAGCATCTCAGCAGCTGGTTCTGCCCCATGGGAAGCAGCACTGCACACAGGTGCTCCTGTCTGCTCAGTGCCATTGTGCAGCATCTCCTGCACCAGTGAAAATATAAAGTCAATCCAATATTAAATCACAATGACAAAGGGCAAGCTTATGTAGGTAAATTTAATTATTAAGGTTTCATTATTTAAGTAATGCTAAAAAAAAAATAAATCAATACTTCAATAATAACTGAAAAACTTCAAGCTCCTTAAGATGAAAAATACTATATTTTGGAGTGAATTTTGTTTGACTGATTGTTTTAGTTAGGTAGATGAACTATGATTCCTAATTTCAGCTGCAGGTCGAGTCATTGCTATTTTCTGAAAACATTACTCTTCCTCCAGTCAACACATTACACTGAGCACACTAAAATTAGTACCCATAGGCAGCTACAGAAGGTGACTAAATTTCAGCTCTCTAAGGGTCTGTTAAGCATATTATTTTTTCCCACCATGCTTTTGATTCTTATTGATTTCCAGCATGGGAAACCAGAGACTCTCAGGTCAGCATAGGGTCTGTCCTCCTTGTAACTGAGAGATCAGTTTATAAATTGTTTAAATGTTCAATTTAATATATGTGCAAGACACCTCATTAATCTTCATAGTTTGCTTTGATTCAAATACGAAGTTTCGCATCAATTAAAGGTTTATTTTTCTTAATGCACAGAAGCTACAGTGTTTGAGTGCCACTAGGCTTAGTGTTTAATCAGGAAAACTATCGTGGAACTGGCTGATTGGGCTGGCTCAACTGCTGCCTGCTCAACTTTTCCCCATAATTGCAGGATATACTTTATTGTGACAGGGCCTGAACAGTGGAATTCCAATACACTATACATCAGGTTCTCCATTATTGGATTAGCTAGATGTGGCATCATTACCGCTGCACTTTCATGCCTATCATTGATTGCATCGTTCCTTCTATTTCACAATTAATGCAAGCCAGCTGGATTGATCAATCTTCTGATGAGTTTGGGCCACAGTCAATACATTCTTATGGCTCTGTGCTACTGATCTGTATGTTTTATAGCTCTGCCTAAGAATTTGTCATTCTGGCTAGAGATTTTCTGGTTTCTCAGATTCCTCTGCTTGCACCCCGCTGCCTAAGTCACAAAGTATTTATGAATTACTCATGTAACAAGAAAAAAACAAGAGAGCAAGAGAGTCACTAAATCCATCATTGGAAAGAATTCTTTTTGAAATGACACTGTTGATGGGCTCAGCACCAACTGCTCTGGCAGCTGAATGCTGCACTTTAAAACACTTCCAAAGAAATGCAGTGATTTCACAAGACCACAGCTATTTCCATTCCTTGTTCAGGCATGCCAGCACGTTTATGAGACGTGGAAACATGTTAATAACTTTATTTTTAAGAGTTTTCTAACCCTGCAATATTCATATTTTCGAAAAGTTACTCTTCATCCAAAGCATAGAAAAATTTGCAGGAAAGTCTCTCCCCAGAAATGGGAGAATTCAATGTTGGGACGCCGGGAGAAATAATTGCAATATTTGCCTGATGCCCCTCTGCTGTTACCCTACATCAAAAGTTTAACCATCCACACTTGAAAATTTTCTCTAGAGAATCATAGAATCACTCAGGCTGGAAAAGACCTCCAGGATCACCAGGATCCAACCGCTAATCCACACCATGCTCACTGACCCCCAGCTCTACATGTAATAATACTGAGTTACCATATTTTCTAATGAAACAGTCTGTAGACAAAAATACAATGTTGTACAGCCTCTGATTTTTTATTTAATTTTAAAAAGCAAAATGTGTTTTCTCTGGATGCTACCAGATATACCTGTATCGATGCCCCTATATTTTTTAATGCCTACAAAAAAACAATTCATTTGATATTGAAAAACAAACATAACAAAACAAAAAGAGAACTAGAAATTGACAGTTTTTTGCATGAAAATGTAACCAAGGTACAGTAGCATTAGCATCTACATCCTAGCCTGACACACATTATGAGAAGCATCACTATACCAAATTTAAATAAGAGAATGAATGAACTAAATTTGGTCAAAGAGCAAAGAATTCTAATCAATATATTCAAACTGGAGTTTGGACTTTCAGGACTAATTTGCACATTACACAGAGAATGCCCTCATTAAACCTAGAATAATTGCTTTTTCTCATCACTTTGTCTCATCCAGTTGCCAATGCCATTAGAGTGACCACTGCAAGGTGGTGGCAATAGCAATTACACTGATTTTTCTCACAGTTATATCAGATCTCATTGTTTTGGTTTTTTTTTCCTTGAGAAATCTAAATTTAGAGATAAAAAGAATTGATAACAAACCAGTTACATTTCTTCCAGTTAGAAAAGCAAAATAACCCCTGAAACAAGTTTCTGGTAAACCATGAAATTACATCTGTTAAAAAGAGAAAGAAACACACTACTTGACAGTTGTAAATATTCTGTTAAATATATAAAATATATTTCATAACATGGAACATTTCCTTAAACACTCTGGCTTTGAGGAGAGCAACCATTTGAGATCACTTTGAGAAAGTGTTCCACCTAAACAATGTTTCTTGTATAATTTGGAATGTAAAGGATAGAGCTTCTGCCTTAAACTTGGGCAATATAACATTGGACCATCACAT